AAGTGAACCCTTTGGGGAAGGCCCGTAACAGGCTTAGTTGGAGAACTCACTTATGAGGTACCTACGGTGATGACCATAGAAGTGTTGAGCAGCTATCCTGTTATTGTTAGATTTGTGCAGACTTATGGGGGTTTATTTACTAAAGCTGGAGAGTCCAAAATCAAACTCCCTTCTGCATAGAAACCAATCATCTTCTAACCTCAGCTTGTTCAATGAAGCTCTGGCAATGAAACCTGGAAGCTGATTGGTTTCTATGCAGAAGGGAGTCTGATTTTGGACTCTCCAGCTTTAGTAAATAAACCCCATGATTTCAGGACTGACAGAGAGGAGGTGGAAGTTGTATACTGCTCATTATTCTTCTGCTACAGTAAAACGTTAAAAAGCTGGATGTGGAGACATTCATTATTTCGAGAGGTGGGCCTCAGGCCTGGAGCATGTGAGTGACCAAAGATGGCAGAGATTTTGTACATTTCAGGAGTGTGTGTGCTTAGTGTATCTCACTACTAAGCAGGAGGCTGGTGGGGGCTTTGGCCAGCATGGTCATGCCTAGCAGCGAATCAGGACCTAATAAATATACTAGCTGATATATCATTTGATTCATATACAGATTCAGCAATAAAATGACTGTTAAAGAAGAATAGTGACATGTGTCAATAATCAACACTTTGGAAAACATTAACTGTAATTGGTAATTGCCGCGTGTGGCGTTTCAGTTCTCTGACCCCAACACCAATGCTTTGTTCTCTAGTCATGTAGTGGCTGGAGGATGGAAACACCATGCATGGAAGGGTACACAGCATCCGACAATCCTGGAAATGTTTCATACCGAAGAGTAGGAATGAGGATTAGGTTGCTGCTATCATGAGTTCATCTGGGTTTGAATTTTGTGGTACTAGAGAATTAAAAAATTGCCAGATTGAATTTTTGTAATCATAATGTATTGTCTGGCCTTTAACCTTAGGTCAGTTGGCTTAGAAGTGGCAATAAGGTGGATTTTGGATAAAAGGGTGAGGGAACAACAACTGTATTGTTGATATGCTTTATATATAATAAGGAAAGCATAGGGAGTGCTTCTGAGACTGTATAGAGAAACATTAGGGTAGGGATTTCAGGTCTGTCTGTTAAAGTAGATATAAATGCTTTCTGAATGTCACGTAGGTGTCAAAATGCAGTGTGTTTAGGGAATTTGGTGGTGGGTGGGGGTGTTTACCCTTTTTATCTTTTGTTTCATCAGTGCTGAACACTTTTTGGTATTGTGTAGATTTTTGGCTTGTAATCACGAAAATAACCCATAGTTTAACCAGTCACGTACCATTTGACAGAATACGTTGACAGAATACTGTTTTTGCAGTTTCTTATATACATATTGTGATTTTACTATTTTGCGTTATAAGATGCACTGTGTAGCTTATGTATGTCCAGGCATGCACTCATTGCATATTACATAACATTTATGGAACTGGTATAGTTTGGGCTTGCTTAGGCAGGATGGATGCTGCCTGGAAAAGCAACTTGTGTATACAGATGGTACTAATTCCATTGATATCTGTTTCCGTGTATTTTGATGCTACTGATTTAAGGTATAGCATTGTCCATGTAAATATACAGTAATTTACATAACAAGTAAGCCAGTTAGACTTGCTATAGGATGATTGGGGACAACAGAAATGTCTCACCAATGTCAGAACAGCCGTGATACGCCCTGCTGTATTTGTGACTGGTACATTTGTGGTCCATACACACACAAGCCTCAAAGATGCACAAAGACTGGAGTTGTTAAAGTGGTAGTAAAGGTTTTTTTTGTCTAGTACCTACAGGCAAGCCCTGGGATTTTTTTCTCAGAGAATAGGTACAGGACCTTCCCCCTTCTGAGTCACTTCTTGTCTGCCCCCCACCTCTGAGCACCGTCCCTTGGTTCCACCCCCTACCCACCTCCCTGTATTGCTCCTTTTAGAGAATACAGAGTCAAGTATCATTGTGTGGTGCTAAGAAACTAGTATGGAATTTATTAATCATAACAAGAAAAGCAATAAAATAGATTCCCGCAGCAACAGACCTCCCCAGCAACAATAGGCCTCCATGCAAAAATAGTTCCCCCAGAAGCCAACATCAATAGACCTTTCCAGCACACCCCAACACCCCTTGCCACTTTGTTCCCCTGTGTTCCCGCTGAAAAAAAAGCCCTGGGTAAGCCCAGAAATATTCAGAAGTCAGTGCTGTTTGCTGTCCCAATGATACTGCGAGAACAGAATGATCATGTGACAGACTGTTACTTCTGTTTGACCAATTTTGCTGGTTTCTCTGTTAAAAATTAGATACCAAATTGAATACCCCAATTTGCCTTCAGCCATGAGACCAGTGCACAGTTGCCAACATTTCATAAAAATGATGTCTGTTTTTTTGCTATGTGACCAACAAACCATCAAATGTGGAGAATGCACTTTATTAGGGGCAGGGTATTTATTTAAATAGTCATGGTTCTACAAGAAGTATATTTTCAACCTATTGTATTAAATATATATATATATACAGTTGCAAGAAAAAGTATGTGAACCCTTTGGGATTACGTGGAGTTTTTTTGCATGAATTGGGCATAAAATGTGCTCTGAACGTCATCTAAGTCACAACAATAGAAGAACACAGTCTGCTGAACATAATACTACACAAACATTAGATGTTGCCATGGTTTAACTGCACATAACATGTAAACATTCACAGTGCAGGGAGGAAAAAGTATGTGAACCTTTGGACTTAATAACTGGTTGACCCTCCTTTGGCAGCAATAACCTCAACCAAACGTTTCCTGTAGTTGCAGATCAGACCTGCACAACGATCTGGAGTAATTTTGGACCACTCTTTTTCACAAAATTGTTTCAGTGTAGCAATATTCTTGGGATGTCTGGTGTGAATCGCTCTCTTAAGGTCATGCCACAGCATTTCAATCGGGTTGAGGTCAGGACTCTGACTGGGCCACTCCAGAAGGCGTATTCTGTGCTGTTGCAGCCATTGTTTTGTTGAATTACTTGTATGCTTTGGGTCATTGTCCTGTTGCATCACCCATCCTCTGCGGAGCTTCAGTTGGCGGACAGATGGTCGTACGTTTTCCTGCAGAATGTCTTGATAAACTCTGGAATTCATTTTCCCTCAATGACAACAATCCGTCCAGGCCCTGAGGCAGCAAAGCAGCCCCAAACCATGATGCTCCCTCCGCCATGTTTTACAGTGGGGATGAGGTTTTGATGTTGGTGTGCTGTGCCTTTTTTTCTCCACACATAGTGTTGTGTGTTCTTCTCAAACAACTCAATCTTCGTTTCATCTGTCCACAGTATATTTTGCAGTAGTGCTGTGGAACATCCAGGTGCTCTTTTGCAAACTTCAAACATGCTGCAATATTCTTTTTGGACAGCAATGGCTTCCTCCGTGGTGTCCTCTCATGTACTCCATTCTTGTTTAATGTTTTCCTTATTGTAGATGTGTCAACAAAAATGTTAGCATGTGCCAGAGATTTCTGTAGGTCTTTAGCTGACACTCTGGGATTCTTCTTTACCTCATGCAGCATTCTGCGCTGTGCTCTTGCAGTCATTTGTACAGGACGACCGCACCTAGGGAGAGTAGCAACAGTGCTAAACTTTCTCCATTGTAGACAGTCTGTCTTACCGTGGACACATGAACATCAAGGCTTTTGGAGATACTTTTGTAACCCTTTCCAGCTTCATGCAAGTCAACTATTCTTGATCGTAGGTCTTCTGAGAGCTCTTTTCTGCGAGGCATGGTTCACATCAGACAGTGCTTCTTGAAACCAATAAACCCAAAACAGGTGTGTGTTTTTTAAGGGCAGGACAGCTGTCAGCAACACATCCAATATCATCACACTGATTGGAGTCAAGGTTGGCTCACTCCTGGCTCCAATTAGCTCTGGGAGAAGTCATTAAGCTAGGGCTTCACATACTTTTTCCTCCCTGCACTGTGAATGTTTACATGTTATGTGCAATTAAACCATGGCAACATCTTATGTTTGTGTAGTATTATGTTCAGCAGACTGTGTTCTTCTATTGTTGTGACTTAGATGACGTTCAGAGCACATTTTATGCCCAATTCATGCACAACTCCACGTAATCCCAAGGGGTTCACATACTTTTTCTTGCAACTGTATATATATATATATTTTTTTTTTTCTGGACATTAATACAGAAAATTTTATAGATAGGCAACTCCTATCCTCATGTTGATTAGTGGTTCCAAATTAATAATAATTACTGCAGTAGGGAACAAAAAGATACACTCAGCATCTTTCCAAATCATTGTTCTGTTTATTCTGCTCGTTTGAAGTTTTTTATACACATGATTACATAGGTATCACATTAATATTACAATTGTACTTTTATGGTAACAAGGGGCGTTACATGAGCGGCAGTTGCTAGGTGTTTGCCGAGCGTTAATAACGCCCCACAAACGCCTATAATGCAGTTTGAGTGGTGTTACCGCTCCGCAAACGCCCCGCAAACGCGTCGCAACCGCACCGCAAACACCAGCCGGGCGTTTGCGGAGCGGCACCATAGATGAGAATAGGAGGCTTCAAAGCCTCCTGACTCGACCAGAGGCGTTCGTTTTGCCGCGACGCAAACGCTCCCGTTAGAACAGCACCATGTGCTGCAATGTGCACAATTGGCAGAGGCGTTTGGGAAGCGGTAAAAAACTCCAAACGCCTCTCTGCTGCCTGCACACAAGGCTAGTGTGAACATAGCCTAAGTGTAGTACAGTGATAGGTTGCCACCTGTGCAATAAGTCCATCCGTGAAATTTCCTTGCTACTAAATATTCCATGGTCAACTGTTAGTGTTATTATAACAAAGTGGAAGCAGCTCAGAACAACAGCAACTCAGTCATGCAGTGGTAGGCCATCTAAAGTGACAGAGCGGGGTCAGCACATGCTGAAGTGCACAGCAGTCACCAACTGTCTGCAGAGCCAATAGCTAAAGACCTCCAAACTTCGATTAGCACAACAGTGCGTATAGAGCTTCATGGAATGGGTTTCCATGACCGAGCAGCTGCATCCAAGCCTTACATCACCAAGTGCAATTCAAAGTGTCAGATTCAGTGGTGTAAAGCACGCAGCCACTGGACTCTAGAGCAGTGGAGACGTGTTCTCTGGAGTGACGAATCATGCTTCTCTGTCTGGCAATCCAATGGATGTGTATGGTTTGGCAGTTGCCAGGAGAACAGTACTTGTCTGACTGCATTGTGCCAAGTGTTAAGTTTGGTGGAGGGGCGATTATGGTGTGCAGTTGTTTTTCAGCGGTTGGGCTTGGCCCCTTAGTTCCAGTGAAGGGAACTCTTAAGGCGTCAGCTTACAAAGACATTTTGGACAATTTCATGCTCCCAGTTTGGGGATGGCCCCTTCTTGCTCCAACATGACTGTGCACCAGTGCACAAAGCAAGGTCCATAAAGACATGGATGAGTGAGCTTGGGGTGGAGGAAATTGACTGGCCTGCACAGAGTCCTGACCTCAACCAGATAGAACACCTATGGGCTGAATTAGTGCAGTGTGATTTCTAAAGTAGTTCTTGCACTACTTTTTATGCAGTTTTGTTGCAATTTCACATATAAAGAATATAATGGGAATTGCACTGCAAATTGGAAGAAATTGTTGAAAATCTTCACAAGTAGATATAAAGTCTTCAGAAATCGCACCTGAAATCGCGCGATTTGTGACTTAGAGCAGAGACTGCAAGCCAGGCCTTCTCATCCAACATCAGTGCCTGAACGCACAAATACGCTTCTGGAAAAATGGTCAAACATTTCCATGGACACACTCCTAAACCTTCCCAAAAGAGTTGAAGCTGTTATAGCTGCAAAGGGTGGGTCAACTCAGTAATGAACCCTACAGACTAAGACTGGGATGCCGTTAAAATTCATTAGTGTGTAAATGCAGGTGTCCTAATACTTTGTGTGTATGTGTGTGTGTATATATATATATATATATATGAGAGAAAGAGACATTTATCATAACAGAAACACAGACTGTGATGATTGCGCGTCAGACCCCTGACCTTCTCACCGAACTCGTGATGGAAGGACTAGCCAATCTGAAGCCGCTATGTCATGTGCGTAACAATGCCACGCCCAGCTGCACCCTGCACAACGATTTTCCAGCTAATGGACCACAAATCGATGTACCGGCAGCCTGAATGCGATTGTTACTGGGTCAGGTTAATTACGCAATTAACCCTTCACACTACCACCACCTCCTTTTTATACAGAGAAAGAGGAAACTCAGCAATAACACTATGATGGTTGAGATAATCGTCTGTATAGCACTGTCACCGCAGACAGGTTATACAGAGGGTTAAACAAACACAGTAGCGCTCTTTTAGAGGCAGGAATTCGTAAGTTGCATTAACGAGCTATAAAAACAGTTCAACACTTTCAGAAAGAAAGATTTATTACTAAAAGGTCAAAAGGGTGCAATAAAAATATTTACAGAAAAAAGATGTAATCAAGATATATATAAATATACAGAGAACAACAGCGCAGCAAAGAGGTAAAAGAAAGGAGGTTAAAGGTTTAAAGTACTTGCCAATCAGCCTTGGGTTAAGCAGATCAAGTTTCAGAGCAAAAGGGCGCATCTCCCAAGTTTGCTCTGATGTTAAACGGGAGAATTCTTCAACTTCTTCTCTTAGGCCTGACAGCCTATTTTGTAGTCCCCCAGCAGGGGGTGTCTCTGAAGCCAAGGACCAATGCCTCATTTGACCTCGGGTCACCCTATTGTACAGCACACTAAAGTGGCCTTTCAGTCAATAGTATCAGTATAGCAATGCATCTCCAATGTACATACTGTATGTTGCAGTTCACCACAACCCATGATGTGCTGAGCTGTGACAGAAACAGCTAAGTCTATTTTTTTTTGGTCTGTTCCAGTGTGTTGGTAGCCTTTTTCACATGAATGGGCTACCTTAACCCGACATACATTGGTGAGTGACACAACGTTAATCCAACTTGAAAGTGTGCATTAGCCTTAAAAATGCACTCTGCAAAAAAATTAGTATGATATTTAGCGGTCCCACAGAAGTGTCTCAGATCTTTGCTATCTTGCAGAGCTATACAGGTGAAGAATTTTAGCATTCCACACAGTTCCAGGTATGTTCAATGCCTGTGCCCTTGATGCAATGTGGTTCCACCCGCCATCCACTATATTACTACCATATGTTTCCAATTACCCCATTTTAAATACTGTGTAAAAAATAATTAAATGCTGTAACCCTCAGAAATGAACAAAATTTCAGCAGTTTGCCCTACTAGTGATAGTTAAGATCTGGCATGTTGGCCCCTTCTTCAGGTTTAGAAGATGCAATTTTTTGAAAATGAGCATCATGACATGCATACTGCACTTTTTACAAGCTTTACCCATCCACATTCCTTCTTCCTGCATGAAGGCCTGTTTTCACAATTTCTTTGGGCCCATAAACCCCCAATACTCCCTCACAAGATTTAACACTTTGCCAAAATCCATGGAGGTATGGCTCTCCCAGACCTGTTTTGCTATAAAGCAGTTTGACATCTAACCAGGGTTATCAATTGGGGCTGTCATGGCTCTATAAAACAGTGAATAACAGTTGAACAAGCAGGCTCCACTGGTCCATTTCCCGCTCTCCTTTGCTACTTCAACAATGTCCCACTGTGTATTATCCTACCATTGACCCCACTTGGAAACTGTGTATGAAACTCTTTTCATATACAGGTATCTCGCGTTCCCCATCTCCTCCTTTACCCAATTTTAGGTTACCATTCTTTTAGACTGTGACTGGGAGGTCCTTTTTTCCACAAGTTAATAAAAAGGCAAGGTTTTCACAGCATATCACTTTGCCCTCAGTCATCTCTGGCCCAAGCAATTGCACACACAACCCAAGTTACATGCCCTGGGCTTTTGCCAGAAAGCCACCTTTTGCATTTCCTTGCGTGTCTCCCTCCATTCACTCGTAACTTCACACTATTTGAACAGTATCACAGACCTTCAACTTCTCTCAGGTATACAGTCTGTCTTATGTACAACTTAATTAATGCCCCCTCTGAGGCCTACAAGCCAGCGTGCCTATCCAAATGGGAACAAGACCTTCAAATAACCTTCTCTACCGGACAGATTGACAAAATACTCTTTTTCACCCACAAGGCTTCAATTTGTACCAGACATCAAGAATAAAATGTTTAAATCATGATGAGCTTGTATCTTACCCCTCATAGACTCCACAAACTTTTTCCACATATCTTAGTTCTTTGCTGGAAGTGTGGTGATTTCAGAGGAGACATCCTGCATATCTTCTGGACTTGTGACAAACCTCGTAATTTATGGTCTACGGTACGACATATAATCCAAAAAAAATCAGACTTCCTGATTCCCCTAGATCCTGCCTGTGATTAATGTGGTGCCCAACCCCTTCCTTTCTCATGAACTCGTGACAAAGGACCAGCCAATCTTACACCGTTCTGTCACTTGCATAACAATGCCATTCTCAGTTGCACCCTGCACAAAGATTTTCCAGCTCGTGGGACCACAATCTATGTGCCAGCAGCCTGAGAGCAATTATTACTGAGTTAATCAATTAAGCAAATAACTCTTTAAACTGCTACCACCGCCTTTTTTTACAGAGAAGGAGGAAACTCACAATCTCAGCAATAACACTATGACTGCGACACACACTGTTGCCACAGACAGGTATATTCAGAGGGCCCCTAGAAGACATATTTTGATGACGAAACGCGTCAGGTCGGAGCCTCCCTCTGACATCATCGCACTGTCGGACATCTTGGAAGTGGTCTTCTTGAATGCTTTTAATTGTTCTACAGTCTGCAAGTAGGATTTTACTTGTGCAAATAAAGGATTTTGATATGTATTAGACTATGAGAGGCATGTTTCTTCTTTCATGATATTATTTGGCATAGTTTTGGAGTTCACATTTTGGTTTGGAGGTTTGGAAGATCTCTGCTCCGGGCTTGGCATGAAGAATCTGCTAATATCTTACATTGCAATGATGGTTGAGACCCCTATAATTAAGGGGTCTATATTTCTGGTAAGCCTTCATTTAATCATTTGGTGGTGGTGTACACGTTGGTGAATATCTGAAGGAAGATTACTCATATTGCACCTGCAGCATTGATATACAACATTATCACTGATTGTGGAGTTCCATCTTCATATGGACTTTACTATATGTTTATATGGACAATATGTTACTGTTTTTTTTATTTTTTTCATTTGATCACATTTCACAGATCTGAGTGTCTTCATATGTATGCATATGATTAGTGAAATTTACACAATACTATTTTATTTATTTATTTGTCTTTATTGTTTTTGATTGCTTTTCATGAGGCTCTTCATAGTGAATATGCATGTTGTATGAAGTTTATTGTTTCACAATATTTTATTTGATTATTTGATTATATTCAGAGGATTATTGTTTTACAGTAGCATGCTTCCAGAGACAGGGATTCTTTTTGTTTTCATTAAAAGCTTTAGAGACAATTTTAACACTTTTCAAAATAGGGTTTATTAATGAAAAGGTCAAATGGTGCAATTAAAATATTTACAGAAAAGACGTTACAAAGAAATAAAGAAACCATAAAGCAGCAGAGAAATAAAAGAAAGGAGTTGAGAAGGAAGAATACTTGTCTTTGATTTTAGCAGAGTCCAGTTGTCCAAGCAAAATCGTTGCCGAGGCTCTCTTGGGTATTTCTTAGTTGATGTTAAATTGAGAGCTTCCTTAACAGGTCCCATCAGTCCCTTTTCTGTGATATCAAAGGGGTGTCGCCTGAGACCATTTGACCAATAATCCGGTTTAAGGGATGGGTACTGGGAGGCCACCACATTTATGACCAATTTCCAAATACAATTTCTTTTACATATTCATATTTCTGGATATCGATCATTTACACTCTACCATGCAGATTATTCTCCAGCGTGAATTTAGCTTCGAAACAGATACAGATATGACAGATTTTGGATATCTATTTTTCAGGATGTGGTGTGGAGGCCTAATCTACCCTGGAATCTCCTAGTATAGGAATATGTGGGTTCAAATCGCTACCCAATAGCTGATGAAGAT